TTGAAATATCAGTTGCTTGTAGGGTTCAGGGGATCTCGTAGTCGAGCAGTCTCGACTAGAGCTTTCTTACTTGTTCATTAATTGAGTTGGCCAAAACTTTCGAAATTTCCTCGCTGGCCCGCTTAAGTGTATTTGCTGAGTGCGCTATACCCATCTGCAGGGTGTTTGTGGTGTGGGCTATTCCTTAAGCATGATTTATGTACACATTTTCGTTCATGTTGGCATCAAACAAGTGCGCTGAAAGCGTCTGAAAGTGCGCTTTAAAAAAGTATAGTAAACATTTTTATGTCTTCCACTCCACATTGGAGCTCAATAAAAATTGATATTGCGCTGCCTCTGCCTCTGCCTCTGTCGACGGCGAAGACAGAGTCGAGTGAGTGTGGCCATATATACAATATATACATACATATATATCTATAGATAGAGATAGAGATGTATATAGATAGATGTCGATATGTTGTTGTAGGTAATGTGTGTTCAATTTTTATGCCTGGTACGTACACACACACACACACACGTAACTGTTTGTTATTTTGTATTTTGTATTGCTTTTGGCCTTGTGGCTGCAGCTGCCAAATGTCTGCCAAAAATATATACACATATATATACATGTATGTGGGGAAGTCTATTAAGTTAATGTCGCGTAATTTAACAAACTGTCAAAATGGCTTGGGCAAAAGTAACGGCAAATGCACACGATATGTACAGTTGCCACGTTCCTTTGCCGTTCGACTCGTTCGTCTTTTCGATTTTCCTTGCATTGACGACGCCGGCGACGCCAAATTGTATGCCACACGCTTTTCTTTCGATTGTTGCAGCCGAATTGTGCTCGCAGTTTCATTTTTATTTTCGTTCGCTTTTCTTTTTGTCAACGACAAACTGCATTAAACTTGGCGCACAGCTTAAAGTTGAGCCCCCAACTTGGACGACACACATTTGCGACCAGGCCGCCAACATGCCACAAAATGTCAGCCGCAGCGCCAGAGCTTGCAACCGGAAAATGCAACACGACTTGCTGCTGTTATTATATTCGCATTTAGCTCGACAAACTTTGGCGCGCCAGTTTCAACGTTGCGTGAATTATATAAATAGCAACAATTCCATACAAATAGCACACACGTATGCACACACACACACACACGCACACACATAGAGAAGAGTGTGCACCCACATGCTTACGCTGATTGCTCTGGGCTAACATTTTTAATTGGGCTTAAAAGCTTTCACTTAATTATATAGCCTATATGGAGGGTACAGGACTTGAAAATATTAAATATCATGAAACATGATGAAAACATTGTATTATTGTATGTTATATATACTACTTACTAAGAAATGTATTGAAAAAAATCATAGAAGTATTTTTTATTTATTTTTTATTTTATTTTATTTATTTATTTTATTTTATTTATTTTTTTATTTTTTTTTTTTTTTTTTGTAAATATAATATATATAAACCTATACGATATGCAAAAAAAATAAAATTATAAAAATATTCATTAAAAATATTTTAAAATGTAATAATTAGTATGCATACATTTTTTCAATTTCAATTTCAATGTATTACATTCTATAATATATAAATGATTTTGTATTAATATTATTTTTCATATTATTTTATATTATTTATATACATATATGATAATCATCAAAACCCTTTCAGAATAGAGATTTTATATATGCACTGATCTAAATCTGGGCTTAACGAAGAAGGATACTTACAGCACTCACTGTATTACAACAGTGACATACGATCAATACCTGTGCCAGGTTTCGCTGCCTTAATCAGCAAGCAAACAGAAATAGCTGCAAATGCACGCAAAACATTTAAAATATTTACCAAGAAAAAAAGAGATTTTTAAGAGCAAATCTGAAAAATAGAAAAACAAGTAAATGCAAAAATGCGTAAATACATTGCCTTTGTGCTATATTTTTTTATTCTTTGGTATTTTATTTTCAGCAACGCTCGATTGCCGTTGATGCGTTCAAAGTCGTCGAAGCGCTGCAGCTATACAAATTTCATAGCATACTTTTACGGGCGCTTCCATTTTGTAAACAAGCGATAGAGGCAGAGAGGGGAGCGGGGAGTGGGTGCATGGTAAAACGAATGGCAAGCAAAACTTGAAAAAATTTATATAAAATTGATTACGTGCATTGGCAAACGGTCATAGCAGACGCAGCAATCTCTATATGAAGTTATATGCCACGCCCTCGCCCCTCTGGCAGAGATATGCTCAGAGCCCGCCTGAATATGCATGCGATTGCTTGTTTGCAAATTGCTGCTGCAGTTGCAGAATTATGCGTGCAACAGCCGCGCGGTAAGTGCCACAAATTTGTGCGAATTTCGCAACTTGTTGTGGGTCAAATATAAATGTGAATATAAATATATATATACATACATATATATATATGATGCTTTGATGTTAATTGGCAATGGAATGCGCGATTCAAATTTGTGCCGCGTGCAGCAAATAAATTATTTATGCATTCTGCGTGGGCTGCCAAATTCTGAATGGGTATGTATATATTTATTTTTATATACATATATATATTTATAAATTATCCTACAATTGGCAGTTGCATTAATTCGCTTGCAAATTATGCTAATGGAATAAATGTAAATTTTGATATTTTGATATTTTGATTACTATTCATGGCATTTAGTCACAAATGTGGCTGATTATTTAATAATGCTTAGCTAATTTCGTTGATCCAGCAAATGGAAGAGAGAGAGAGAGAGAGAGAGATGGCTCATTTAATAGTCATGTAAATTCAATACATTTTAAATTGTGTATTAAAAACTTAAATAAATATTTAAGTCCAATAAATATAGAAATTAATGCAAACATCAATAGAAATGTTTACAAACAATTATTTATGAAGTATATGAATAATTTAATTAAATGAAGGTGCAATTTACTTAGAAAACCAATTGTTGTTATTGGTGCAGCTTGCGAGCTGTGTATAAAAAAAAGAAGTAAGGTTTAGCCTATAACCACATATCGATTTTTATCGATAACCAGTAGAAAATAAGTTCGACTTCTGCTGTATTACTTATTACTTTCTATTTTCTTTAAGTTTACCAATCAAAGTTGTAAAATACATAAATTTAATAATTACATATACATACCTTAAAATATATCCAAATGTTGTATATATATCAAATTTGCATAGAAATTCACTTTTTCTTTCATCTTGAATGGAATTCGAAGGAGTCATTGAAGTGTAACGGCTTTAGCAGTAACTGCTGCTGCTGCTTCTCCTGCTTCTTCTGCAGCGCCTGCTGCTGCAGTTGCTGCTACTCCTCCTCCTGTTGCTGCTGTTGTTCCTCCTCCTACTGATGCTGCTGGTGCGGCTGTTGCTGCTGCAGCGCCTACTGCTGCACTTGCTGCTACTCCTCCTCCCCCTGCTGCTGCTGCTGCTGCTGCTGGTGTCCTGTTGCAAGTGGCAGCAACAGTAAACTTGCTTTGTTCGATCTGTACTTGGCCATCACGTGTGCTTTGTCCTGCTTTGGCAGCTGGTCATGCGTTAATTTTGAGCCAATTTCATGCGCTTCGACAAGTTCGCAATAGAAGAAGAAAATGTGAAGCAAAAGGATTTGAGAGCAAAGCTCAAGAGATGGCGCCACGTGAAATGTGAAATGGTTCGTGGCTCAGTTTGCGCGCTAATGAAGTGTTTAAGTGTGGCATTACGCATTACGCATCACACATACGCCGAGTGTGCGGCTCACATTACGCATACGCCCGGCTGTGCGTAAGCTAAAAACTCTCTAAATAAACATTTGCATATCACAGAGCCCAGGCACCGGCTGGGAGTTTGTTTATCTTCCATGCGGAGCAGCCCGACAGAACGGATAAGAAAGGAAAAGAAAAATTGAAATAGGGCAGAAACAAGTTAACGTTGATTGCACAAAGCCGGCCGGATTTGTAGACCGCTGCACAGTGTTGGAAAAGTTAAGCAAAACACGAAATTAAGGAGTGCTTCTCCCTGTGTGTGTGTGT